ATAAATAGGTAACATTTCATAAATTTTCATGGGTCAAAAGGTCACATTAGAGACATATAATGGTAAATTTAATGCAAAAAAATATACCTTGAATGCTAAGATAAATAGGTAACATTTCATAAATTTTCATGGGTCAAAAGGTCACATTAGAGACATATAATGGTAAATTTAATGCAAAAAAATATACCTTGAATGCCTAATTTCTTTTGCAATCCGTTGTATCATTTCAAATGATGGTGGCGGCATTTGATCAGTCCATTCAGGCCAGTAAAAATGCGTACAATTATAAAGTCCTAATCGTGAAATAATTCGAAGTTTACTTTCAATTGCTGTATAATTCACATTATCTTCTTGTATTTCTATCTAAAATATTAATTACTTAAAATATCTTTCCCTTTTCCCCCCCTCCTTCCACCCACTCCTCATCCATCCACTGTTTAAATTATAAATGCTACAAATGACCAATGGCTAATTTACTTCCTGTCCAAATATCATTAATTTACTTTGTAAAATTAATTAATTAATAAGAATTGAAATGAAATTTTTTGGCTAAAATTTTGCATATATTAATCATTCTAAAATTTTACTATACACATTCTTTTTTTTTCTTTTACATTTTAATTAAATTAAAAGTACGAAAATATTTGTGAATTTAAATTTTTAATTAAAAATTAATTTATAAATTTGTAAAATTATTCAAATTAAAAAAATATCAATGAAATATTTGATGATAATTTTATCATTTTAATGCATCAAATTTAAAACAAATATGAAAGGAAAGAAAAAAGAAAAATAAACACCTTTTTAATTTCACAATTTCTCACTTCTGTATCACCATATTCGGCACGTTGTCCTTCTTCACGTGGCCAATAATCAGCGCAAACTGACATATTATTTTCAATAAAATCACATAACATAACAATATATTCACATTGTGTTTGACATATCATTCGCCAAAAATCCTCAATTGTTATTTCTAACGGTGCCTAAAAATCATTTATTAAAATATGCAAATTACAAAAAAAAAAAAAAAAATAGAAAAATTAGAATAAAATTAATCAATGATAATGATAGCAAAAATTAGATGTGATTAAAATAGATGTCATCAATATTATGATAATATTCATTCTTTGTCATCAATTTATTCTAATAATTTCTATCACATTTTTTTCTTTTTATTCGTTTTTTTTTTTTTTTTGTCCTTACTTTTGTTTTTATCATTATTTTTCATCACTATCATTATTTTTATTGATAAGTTAAAATGATAATGATATTTTTACCTGCGTACAAATGAAACGTTTTTTACGTTTCCCAGAATGAATAAAATTAGCATGAATATAATTAGCTCGTACGTCAACATTTTTTAGAATAACACGTGTTTTTTCAATACATCTAATATCCTATAATTTGAAAAA